GTCTCACTGGGGGCCCAGGGGCTCCCCCAGGGCTGGTTTGTCCCGCGACGTCCCTTTGGCCACCAGAGCCTTTTCCTGGGGACATTTGGGGACATTGGGGACATGGGGGGACACTGGGGGACATAGGGGGATTTGGAGACATTGGGGACATTGAGGGGATTGGGGGCATTGGGGACATTAGAGGGATACTGGGGGGGTTGGGGACGTTGGGGATGTTGGGGCTTCTTGGGGGTCCTGTGGGTTTTCTGGGATCCTGTGGGGTCCCTGTAGGTTCCTTATGGGTTCAGGGGGTCCCAATGGGTTGTGGGGGGTTGTGAGGGTCCCCACAAGTACTAGGGGTCTCGAGGGGTCCCGATTGGGGGTTCTCACCTCGACGAGCGTGTGCCAATGCTCGATGGGCTTGCGGGGGTTCGCCAACATCTGCGCCCAGTGCTCCCGCCCCGGACCCTCGGCGTCGCTGCCCACCCGGCACAGCCCAATCACCTCATTGTGCCCGATGCTGGGGGGACACCGGGGGGTCAGGGGGGCACCCTCAGAGCCCCCAAACCCACCACAGACTCCCAGACCCACCATGGACCCCCAAAACCCACCACAACTCCCCAGATCCCAGATCCTCGTTTTTGCTCCCTTGTGCAACCCCACTCACGAGGGGTCTCCAATGGCTCCAAGAGGACCCCAAACCCCTCCCTGGACCCCCCAGAGACCCCCAGGACTCCAAAACCCTCCCAGGATCCCAAAGCCCATCCAGGACCCCCAAAGGACCCCCCAGAGCCCCCCTAGTGCTGACCAGTCCAAGGCAATGTTGGGGGTCTTCAAAGACCTCTCAAATGAGGGGGTCTCCCATCACTCCAGAACCCCCCCAAACCCCTCCAGAACCCCACAAAGACCCCCAAAGACCCCCAAAGTCCATCTGGGACCCCCCAAAGCCCCCCCAGCACTGACCAGTCCTAACCAATGGAGTGACGTGGGCAGTGGTCTCATGGGGGACATCAAACGAAGGGGTCTCCCATCACTCCAGGAGGACCCCAGACACCTCGAGGACCCCCCAGGCTCCCCCCTCAGGACCCCCACAGGCCCCCCCCTGGGCTGACCAGTCATAGTCCACAACAGCAATGGTGAGGCTGACGTGGTTGACACTCTCGTGGGGGACGTCGAACACCAGGGCCTCGTTGTAGCTCGGGTTCAACGTGTTCTTCTTGATGGATGTCTTGCGCTTCTTGAGCCGCCGGCCCTCGGCCATGAGCGAGGCCTTCACATACGGGTCTGTTCGGGGAGCCCCAGAAACCCATCAGCAACCCCAAAAACCCCTAAGGGAACCCACAGTGACCCCACAGGGACCCTCGGCCACGAGCGAGGCCTTCATGTAGAGGTTTGCTCGGGGGCCCCAGAAACCCCTCAGCGACCCCACTGGGACCCCAAAAACCCCACAGGAACCCACAGAGACCCTACACACCTAAGCACACCTGTGACATACCTGGGCACACCCATGATGCACCTGGGCACACCTGTCCTACACACCTGTAATGCACCTGAGCACACCTGGGCACACCTGTGACGCACCTGAGTAGCCGGTGAGGTCCATGGCGCGCAGGTTGGACGCCCGGATGACCGTCACCGTGAGCCGCCCGGCCGTGGGCAGGTAACACAGAGAGAAGTTCACCTCGCCCAGGTCCGGCTTTTCCTGGGGGGACACAGACAGATGAGGGGACAGGTGAGAGAGGACAGGTGAGGGGATACAAGGACAGGTGAGGGACAGGTGAGAGAGGACACACGGACAGGTGAGGGATGGGTGAGGGGACACAGGGACAGGTGAGAGGAGACAGGTGAGCGGACAGGTGAGGGGACAGGTGAGAGGGGACAGGGGCTTATGTGACCATGAATCACTAATTAAATCAGAAATGGGTTAATTAATAAATCAACTCATCAATTAAATCCCAAATGGAATTATAAATTCAATTCTCAATCACAAATTAAATCCCAAATAAACCCAAATTTGAGTCAGAAATTAAATCATTAATTAAATTATGAGTTAATCAATAAATTAATTCATTAATTAAATGTCAAATGGAGTTATAAGTTCAATACCCAATTAAATCAAATCCCAAATTAAAATCTTAAGTTAAATCCCCAAACAAATCAAACATTAAACCAAAAATTAAACCACAAATTAAATCATTTGAGACTTTTA